GGGGGGTCTGTGTCAGGGGGGGTGTCTGGGAGTTCCCACCCGAGCTCGGGCCCACTGCCCGCTCGGCATGCTGGGGTGGCCGTGCCCTCTCCTCCCCGTTTGCACGGGGGCGTGGGAGGCGAGTGCTTCCCTCCCAGGGCTCAGTGTTTGCTTTGTGGGTCATGGTGGGAGCCGGCTGAGCTGGCTGCAGGCACAGGTCTTCTTGTTTTGTTGTTGTTTGGGGAAGCTATGTTGTTGTTTACTTCTAAAAAAACCTACTTTGTGCTGTGGTATTTTTCTCCCCTTCGGAATCATTTTTTTAAACAAAACAGGTCTTACAGCAGTTGCTTTTCTTTTTCGCTGATTTCTTTAAGAAGCTTTAAACTATTTATTGAAAAGTGCCATATCTCATTTCCGTAGCGTTCTGCTCAGGCAGGGCCGGGCGTCCCTCCTTCCCACCCTCGGAAACCAGGGGACCGCCCGCTCATGTAGCTGACTCCCCCGGGATGACGGGCCTGTTTCTGCTGGGGCATCGCCCAGCCTCTCCTCGCGTGGCCACTTCAGGTGTCCTCCGGGGGCTGTTCCTTTTGTGCGCTGGCTGGCTTCGTGGGAGAACAGTTCGGGCCTGGCTGTGGTGGGCTGGGCCCCGGCCCTGTGTGGGGACCCGCTGGTCAGGATGCCTTCCTGGCGGCCTGCGTGCCTTTTATCCGGGGGTCGGCTCCCTCCTTACTGACCCTGCGCTCAGCCGCGGTGGCATCTCTTTTGGGCCTTGGCACCAGATTGATGTGTCAGGAGATGGTCCTGTTGGGTGTGGCCGGGGAGAGGGGAGCGGCCGGGGGTCTGCGCCAGCTCTTTGGGCTTCAGGCTGCCTCTCCCCCTCATCGGTACTCCCGGCGGCTGCTGCTGGAGCAGGCGGGTGGGGAGCCTGCGTCTACCTGCTGCCTCAGATCAGGGGCTTGTCTGTTTGCCGACGTGCTCTTTGTGGAGAGTGCCATCTCGAGCCCCGTTTGTGTTTATGGGGCCACAGGGCCTCTGGCTGTTCTCTTCTCCACGGCGGTTTCAGGTGACGCTGCTTCCCGGAGCTCAGGTGGCTCTGGGCGACGGTGGGAACGGAGTCTGCGTCCCTGTCCCTCCCACGGGGGGCTGCCCCATCTGCAGTGGGAGGCGGCACGTCCGGGGAGACGAGGGGCCGAGCACCCTCCCCTCTCCTTTCTGGTGTCCCGTCATCCAAGCTGGTGTCCAGGCGCCTGGCTGTGTGGGACGGGCTTTAGGGAAGAATGTGTTCTGTCTGCAAACACCCACGATCCCTGTGGGAAGACATCTTTAGCCAGAGAAGTCCAGCCATGAGCAAGGGAGAGGAACAGGTGGGGACAGAGGCACGGTTCACAGCGTCCTGAGGGGGCTCTTCGCGAGGGCAGCGGGCGGGGAAGGCCGTGAAGGGAGCCATTAGCCATCCTGGGGCCGCTGGTCCCCATCAGGGGTCCTTTGAGCAAGTTCCTCAGGGCAAGGGTTGTAGATGGGCCATTCTCAGGAGGAAGGGAGACCTGGCCACGAGGGAAGATGGGAGCGTCACCAACCTTTGTTCCTCAGCACGGCCTTCCTGGCGTGCTGGCTTCAGCCCTGCCCGTGGAGGGCTTCCCTGTGCACCAGCCGCTGCAGACTCAGGATCCCTCCTGTCCAGATGTGGCCATGGGTGTCCAGCCTTGAGCATCTTTGGGAGGCCCCCCCCACACACACACATTCTCAAGCAAGGGAAGGGGCCCATCTCCAGGCCACTGAGATAGTGTGGCCCCTAGGGGCCAGGCTAACTCTTGTCATGTCATGTTTGAAGAGCAAAGCAGGTGATCCTATCACCGTTCTCTCCAGTTGGCCGGGTTCTTGCTCCCTGCTACCCAGCCACTGTGGGTGTGGTGTTTCCTTGGTGACATGCCCAGCTGAGTCTTGAATGTCCACCACGTGCTGCGTGTGGCTCAGAACGCCAGTCAGGTGGCCCCTGTGCTCTGAGCCACGAGGGCAGGGCGGTGGCTGTGCCGTGCAGGGTGGGAGGGCTGGCCGGCACGCTTGCAAATGGAATTTTGCTCTTTTTAGAATGCCGGGTGGCATCCCCAGCACCCACTGGTAATATAAGGTTAGAGTAAGCGAACGTCGGTCAGTTTTAAGAATCGGTACTAAAAGCCCAAGAGCCAGGCTTTATTCCTGAGGACTTGACTCGCTAGAAAAACACCTGGTTTGTAAAGCATTTTCCACAACTTAACTCCGTGTGATTGTCAGTGTCGGCTGTTTCCGTCTCCTATCGGGTTCTTCACGGCTTCTGTTTGGAGAGAGAGCCAGGCACGGTTCACATTTCAGGGGCATGGACCGCCTTCCGAAGCAGCACAGCGAGCTGACTCCTCCCCGCTCACCCGGGCGAGCAGTCAGAGAGGAGACCGGTGGTGGCTCTTCCTCATCCGGGCGATGTGAATTCTCCTTGGTCAGTGGCCGCTTACACAGGCTGTGAACTAGCAAGATACTCAGCAGCGCATGTGTTCAACCCAGTCATGACGGGTTTACGTCTCGGCGAACTGTGATGTTTTCGGTAAAGAAACAGGCCCGGTAATTCAGTTGATGTTTTTCATCTCCTCAGTCTAGATGTGTACGTGTTTAACGAATTCAGGTTCATACCCATAGTTCTCGTAGTAAGCTTCCTTGGTCGTTGACTTGTAACCAGCAATTCACCTATGAATGTATCCCAAACCCTTAGGAGGCTTGGAAACGTTTTTTAAGATAATGATTTAGTTTTGTAGGAAAAATACACTGAAGTTTACAACACCCATTTTCCCCTGGAAATTCAGTTGACTCAGCCACATTGTCACAAGCAATCATCCAATGAACGTCCAGATGATGTAGTGGGATGCTTTTAATATTCCTTTTTATACTCATTTTGGGTCTACTGTAATCTTCGGTTCGGACAGGAGTTTGAATTTAAAGGATTTACCACTGTCTGTGTTGTTACCAAGCTTTTGCGTTTTGTGAGGGTATCTTCCAGGTATGAATGAAGCAGGACTTCTGACCGTGGTACTCCCTGGGTCCCTGTAGTGCCAAAACCAGTGATACTTGATTTGCTCCTTTGGCAGCTTGTAGAGGTAACACTAGTGGCTTTTCCTCATGAATGAAAATGCCCATTTTCTAA